AATCCAGTCTTGGAGAAACAGTATATCAACGTTTTTTGAGAAAAAATGGGGTAGTAACATTACAAAAATGGGTTGTAATAAGGAATGTGTCCACCCCATCCTGCAATACATTCGTGGCAACGATATTCCATGCTATCAATTAAATTGTCGGTCAGTGAAATGGAAAGAAGCGACCAGACACAGGGTAATCCTTGTTCAAGCTCATCTAAGGACCTTGGAGGAGAAGTTAAAGCAGCAACCTGTCTTCCAAGGTAGTCCCAAAGAGGCTGTATCGGATGCAGGTCTGGGGATTGAGCTGGCCATTCCATCCGCTCCATACTGTGACCATCAAGATATTCTTCAGCAACTCGAGCTTGGTGCGATCGCGCATTATCGTCCATCAGAAGAAATCCAGCACCAATAGCAGCGGGATATGGGCGGCCATATTGATCAAGGATCTCGTCTCGATAGCTCTCGCTGGTCAACGTTCCTCCATGGAACACATGCAGGTCAATTTGACCACAGAGAGAGATCCCAGCCTAAACCATTATTTCACCACCTCTGTAACTATGTCTTTCCACAATGTGGGATTGGTTGTATCTGATGCGTTGTTCCCTCCAGATCAGCTGACGACCTAAATCACTCTCCAGCGTGAAGCTGGACTCATCTGTGAAGAGAACAGATGCCCATTGTTGACTGGTCTAGGAGATGTGTTCTCTTGCCCAAATAACGGGCACCTCTGTGTCCTCTGTTCAATGAGACACAAACGACTGATAGTCTTGCATACAGGCTTGTATTGTGCAGGTGTTCTGCGCCCTGTAGTAACTAACATTCTTGTTTCTGTTGCCACTAAATGATCTGCCATGAGCTAAAGCAAAATTACACCTCCTTAGGGTCAAAAGAGCTAAATTATGGTCTCCCGCAGGTTTTCAAACTCTAGGTCTGCCTGGAACATGTCTTCTAGACACAGAATCCTCAGATTCAAACTACAGGGTGATTATAATTAAAATTGCGATTTCAAAACGCTCTAACTTTAAAACTACCGGTCAGAATACGGTCAGTAACGGTCAGAATAACTTGATATTTTACCAGAACAATCGTGAGGCAATGGAATTTTGTTTGGGGAAGTTAAAAAATAGTTCCAAAATGTGCCGATAGATGGCCTTGTCAGTGTTCACATGGCTGTTGTGAAGGTATGCACATTCCTAATACTTGCCATACGCACCACAGACATAGCTGTGATAAAAATGCAGAACAGTGGTGGAACACGTAATACTTTGCTTGAATGCTTCATCGTAACTGACAAAGAAGAATCGCGCTCTGCTCGTGAAGCTTTTTTCTTCTGTCAGAACGGTAACTCTGCGCTAACAGCTATCAGGAAGTTCTGGACAGTAAATGCATGAAATCCGGCCTCATGACCCCTTATGCCCTGCGACAAATGTAGATTAATTCAAAGAGACCGGTTTATATGACGTGAAACGAGGTAGATGACAAAAACCAGTTATGGAGGGGCAGTGGAAAAGGTGGCTACAACGTTACAAGAACAGACAAACAGTGATGCAGAAATCAGCAGTGCAAGGAAGTGGACGAATGTTGGATATGCCTATCAGCACGGTGGGTAATGTCCTATGGAACATCTTGCGCTGTTATCCGTGCAAGATAACTCATGTGCAGTAGTTGCTACTTGCTGACCTGTAAGCACTTGCATCGTTTGCACAAAAGTTTCTTGCCCGGATGAAAGTGTACAATGGATGGTCAGGAAACATTCTGTGGTCTGGGGAAGCTCATTTCCATTTGCAAGGTTCTATAAATACTCTATAAATACTCATATTTGCTTAACCATGTCCTTACGGCAATTCAGCAGCATCAGTGTGTGGATCGCACAATATTTATGCAAGATGGCATTCCTCCGGACGTTGCTACTTGTGTGAAGCAGCTGCTGATCGCTCATAAAATCATAAGCTGCCATTTTCCAACAGTGTGGCTGCCACGTTCGCCCGACTAAGCCCGACTCCCTAACCAAAAATCCCTTGAAGTAAGCTTCGTGGGCCACTGTGGCCAACGGAAACGCAAAAAGCAACCAAAGTACCACTTTTACGTGACAACTGTAGTAAAACAATGCGCTTTAACTCAAGCAGTACTAAAACTCAAGCAGTACTCAAGCAGTTTTAATTTACAATTATTGTAATATTGTTGCGTGCATAGTAGAATGAATGCAGACAGAATTCAAGATAGCTTGATAAAATGTATTTTACCAAACGAAACACTTAACAGTTCTGGAACTTCCCACAAAAATAATCGTACAGCTCTTCACAATATCAAGGGTATAATCAATAATTGTACTTCAGGCTGGTAATAACGTTAATCACAAAGTAGTGCAAAGGGCATCTAAAAGACCAAACTCTCTAGGATATCTCAGTATTTCGAATTCAGCTCTGAACTAACAACTAAGACACTTCCCGGCATGGTTCCGCTACGTAGACGATTCTTTTACCCTGTTTGAAGGTAATAGAGATGATTTAAATAAAGTTCTTTCAACAATGAATTCTATTGATCCTGCTATTCGGTTCACTTTTGAACTTGAGACTTGCAACTCTCTTCCGTTTCTCGACATTCTGGTCACACGTAACACATCCAACTTCAGTATTACAGTTTACCGTAAACCTTCATCGGTTTGCCTTCCACCACACTTTAAATCATGTCATCCGACTAAACAAAAGTTAGCTTCATTTTATTCCTATGTTTTCCGTGCTCTTCAAGATTGTGCTCCTCCAAACTAGCCCTTGATGAAGAACTAAATTATTTAAAAGCAATAGCTATTGACAGGGGCCTTTTCACCCAACATTATTAATCAAGCAGTTAAAAAATTCTCATCTCAACACACCAAAAGGCACACTCTTGTTTTAGGAGATTATAAAAATTCTGTTGTCATTCCCTTCTTTCCATCAATTAGCTATAAAGTTGCACATATTTTGCAGAAATTTAACTTTCGGGTTGTTTATTCTCCCATCAATAAAATTCGGACTTCTATACTCAAGGACCCCATTCCGGATATGAATTCCTGGGGTATTTATAGGATTCCTTGCCAGTGTGGTTTAATTTACATTGGCCAAACTAAGAGAGCCTTAAAATTTCGCGTCAAGGAACATGAGGCATATGTTAGAAAAAAGGAAACACAGAAGTCTTCTGTTGCTCAACATTGTTGGTCCGAAAATCACACTTTCAATTTTTCTGCTGCCAAAATTATTCAAAAAACATCTTCCATTGGAGAACTGGATTTTCTAGAGGCATTTCACATTCATAAAAATCTTTCTGTTCTAGTTAACGATCCTAATTCCAATCCAAATTTGCCTTCGGCCTTTAAAGAAATTATGTTTTTGTTCTGGTTTCACCAACAGATCGCACCACTTGCTTATTCTTGCCCAGGCTTTCTTATCTTAACTAATTATTTCCTATCTTGTTCATTTGCGGTTTTGCAGCTGAAGATGGTGGTTCGGTAAAACCATCGAACTAGTCCTGTGAAAATTTTGTAAATATAACGCTGATTTTTGTTTCCTGACTTCTGAACTAAGACGCTATTGCTCTCTCGGGTATTATATAGTATTCTAGTACTATCTCCAGTATTCTCGAAATTACTGGAAGGCATATGAGGGCCGGTTATGGTTACAGCTAATACAGGAATCAATTACAATTATTCAGTTACAATATCAATTACCGTTATATACGGACCGAACCAAAATGCCTCCAAATGTTCGCAAAATTTGGCGACTTTTGGCGATTTCTCGCCAAATGTTTTAAAAAAAATTAGTCGCCAAAACAAGCTTGGCAATATGTCACCAAATCAGCAAGATAGCCATTTACTCAATGTTAAATAGAGTTGCCCCTGTGTTCTTGTTTTTCCGGTAGAGCATCATTTCTCTCAAACGTTTCACGTTTCATTATACAGAAAAATGCAACAATTTCACATAACATTTCACCTAAACTATCCGTATATGTACAAAATTTGTAACAATAAATGGTAATAAACTGATAATATACTACATGAAATAATACCTTTGCAACTATGTAAAGAGATTTTTAACTACATGAAGCTGGAATATTTTCATTTCTATTAGTGCAATTAATGACACATCTTAAGATACCTTTATTTCTTTGTGTTAATAATACAAATTCTACTGAAGAAGAATAGATCTTTTTATCTATTTGTTTTCCTTGTTATGTGGTAATGGTTCTTAGGTTTTCATCTCTGAATACCTTCACCTTATAACTTATTTCGGTGATTTCCAAAAGTTTATTTTACCATTAATTATTTGTTTTACTATTATTACTAGTACATTTAAAGTGTACTTTTTTCTACAGAAAAGTAAAATACTGTTGTCTGTTTTGAATGTCTGCAAGTAACACAGTAACTCAATAATGCAGGTAGAAACGTCATATCTTTCATAATACATACTGCATTGATGAGATTAAACATAACCTTTTATTGATACTAATTTATGTATTAAACTGATCTGAGATTACTTTTATTTTTTTCTTCGTTCTTAATGATTGGTGAAGATCTCTTTAAGTAGTTTGCAATGGTATATAATACACATAGCAATAAAACCAGATTCAATAGAGTACGTTCCATAAAAGCAAGTCTACAACATTAAATTAACTATTTTCTATTAGGTAACGATCAGTATTTGTCGATTAGTTTAAAGTGCCCTGATAAAACCGTTTGCCATCAAAAACTATTACTTATTAAACAGTGCACAGCATGAAAATCGTAACGCTGAGCAGCATTAATGTTGAGTTTAACATTGTGTGATATGATAATTTATTTGATCACTATATCATTTGATGTAACGTTGAAACGACTGTTTAAAATATATATGTCACTAGTATTATTTCGTTTATGTGGCACAGCAGTATTATACGGTCTTCTAAGGGATTGTGTTTCTAACAGTTTAGAACCATTGCTCTATTACTGGCTCTAAATAAAGCTTTCAATATGCTATAAAAAGTATTTTTCCTTCCAGTTTTTCAAGTTTCCAAAGATGGTGTACATCTCGTGCAAGCCCTCCCCGCTATTCCTATCCAAGTTTTTATTCTGACGCTATGTGCTCCGTGCATTCGAATAAATATGATGTTTACAACGGCGGATATTATCAGACACCCTATTGGCTGGTAAATACATCTTTCATTCGGGTACTTTTGTAAACTCTAAAGTTTTGTAATGCTGCTTTTTTGTAAACTTAATGAAATTGGTTTTTCCTGGGGTTTAGTCGTCAAATTTGAGAAAGCTAATAATTCAGTTTGTACTTCATTTTTTAAGCTACTAAATCATTATAAAATAGTTTCCGTTGTTTAGTAACTCGTTGTTAGCAACACTATTTAACGCGCGAAATATCTTGTGACTTTGTGTTATTTAGCGATTTCAGAAGATTTATTTTTTACTCAAGAAAAGGATTCAAATTTTGTATTTAACAACCCCCAGAACTTATACAAATATAAAGGTTTGAACTGCTGACCTTAAGATTTCTAGTCATTAGATTTTTTGAAGCAGGAGAGGTGAAAAATGTGTACTGCCCTCGCCGGGACTCGAAGCTTGGACCTCTCGAATACGCGTCGAGAATGCTTCCAGTTACATCCCAAAGGCATGCGAAAAGGAGGTAGAAAGTGCCTTATGTACTCCTCCTTTTAAATGGCGACTGGGGATTAGGAGAAGCAATCGCCAAATTCTGGTGGTGAGGAATTTTCATCCGCCACCCTTTAGTTTGGGAGCCATTTGTAGAGACGTTAGGTTTTTTGAATCAAGGAGGTGTAAAATGTGCAGTGCCATCGCCAGGACTCCAAATGAAGACTTTTCGAATGCGCGTCGAGTATGTTTCCAAATGCACCATGAAGGCATGCGAAAAAAGAGGGAGGAAATACTTTATAAAGATTAAAAATGTTAGCACTCAGCTTTCATCTCTATTCAAAAGATAAGTCCTGACTTACATTTCATTGAATATTCAATTTTTAACCATTTATTTAGATTCATTCTCTTATTAAAAATCATAATTAGAACCTTTTGTCTTTGATTATAAACCATAATTATATCCTAAATGCCAGCCGGATGTGTCTTATATTATTTCGATATTTATAAATGTTACCTCTTATACACCAAGAATGTGGATAATAACGCAATTAATTAATAATTGTATTTAAAATCTATTATACATTCAGAGAATTAATTATTATTGTGCCTCATGTGCCTTTGGAAAAGCTGTAATTTGTACAATATAAAAATACCTTTGGACCTTAACAAAGTATTGTACAGAATAAAGTATTCTTTGAAAAAAAGTAGAATCTATTTATGCTTGGAGCGTGATTGAAAGTTCCTTTAATTTCACTTTTGAAAAGAAGTCTTAATTAAGTGTTGAATTCTTTAAAATTAAATTTTATCATGTTTTAAGATGATTCATATGCATTCTAGAGTCGAATTTCGTCAAGCATTTTTGCTCTTGAGTCTCTTTAAATTATAGAATATCGAGATCCTATTTTATTCGTGTCATGTGTCTAATAATTAAAGTTCGTTGCAGATAATAATAAAATTCATAATTTTTTTATATTTCTCCTATATTTCGATATTTGTCTTCCCAAAAAAAGGAATATGAAGTGTCTAAGAGATAAGTAATGGAAAAGCACTTTTACGGCAGTCGGTAAATAAGCTTTCGACGTTCGAAACGTCTTACCGAAAATTCTGAACCGTTACATTTCTTAAGTACTTCTCGTACTTCGTGCCTTTCTTAACTGCTTCTCGTCTACAACTCTGATAAATAATGTTACCGCCACAACAACGCACGCCCTGCATTGGAAACTGGAACCCGAATTCGACCAATAGCGAAAAACTTCCATGCCTGTACTTAAATTATATTTTTAAAGATTAAAGCGGCCACTTCGTTAATTAGCCAAAATCGAAAGGTTAGCCGTCATAACTGGCAGACTTGTAGTATCAGTAATAACAGTACAGTAAACTTTAATAAGAATAATGCACCATAACATATATATTAATTAATGTGCATGGTTGCGATTATGTTTTTTAAGCGAAATGTCCTATGTTTTTTAAACAAAAACAGATCTGTGAGTACATGACGAGACCAAAACTGTTGCTCTCCCATGTAAATAGCAATCCGCTTACTACTTAAAAAAGCCAAAAAATTGTCCGCATTGCACAAAATTGGTATTAAGCACATTAAATATTAGATACATTATATTATTATATGATTTTCAGTTTTTCAGTTTTTGAAGGTGCCAAGTTTTCATTAAATTAACTTTAAACGTCTCATAAATTTCGCCAAAGTGCTTACTGTGGCTGCTTTAATCCTAAGGTACCTAAATTATTTTTTCTATTTATTTACAGTAACATAATATTATAAATAGAAAATTTTACAAATAAAACGAAAAAAATAGTATTTCAATACACTTACCAGCAATGAAAATGTGCCACTGTTGCTTGTATTTTACAGGAAAAAATAAAATGCACATTATTTTTATATTTAATAAAAATTTTTATTGCTGCTCAAATAATAATAGAATTAAGGAATATATTACCAAATTATTCCAGTGGTTTAGATTTACGATCCACTAAGTTCTACTGAATTTTGGTTTTAATTTGAGGGATCTAAAGATTTATTGCATGGAATCCCATTTTTTTTGCAGAATACAATCTGAATGCATTGATCTAAGTTAATAGCTCGCCAGTTCTGGCAGCAAACAGGAAATTGTAATTAGAAGAAGCTAGAAATTCACCTCCTTCAAAATAAAAAAATGAAAGGAAAAAGCAAGAAAAGGAAAACCATTTCCAAAATTGATGGCAACAAAAGGATATTAAAAATAAGTTTCACTTGAAAATGTAACTTTAGAAAAAAACCGCAAACACATATTGCTAATTTTCTTATAGAACTGCATTTTAAATTATTTTTGTTTCTGACTAATTGAGATCCAAGATCTAAAGTGTTACGCTTATTCTTTGCCAGACATATTTATTTCTGCCTAATTTAAATAAAGTTGTTCGAAGTATTAATGCTACATTTTCCATAAGCAGTCAATTTTTTATTTTACTAATTTTTAAATATTTTTATATTTACCAGTTTTTTACATTTTTTTCTTTGTAATTTGTTTTATATACAGTTACAACATTTAGCAAACTCTGGCAATGAGTCATTTTACTTGTCAAAGAGGAGTGACAAGAGATATCACAACAGTTGGTATAATCCTGATGGATTTCATTACAAAGAGAACAGATATTATCAGCATAGAAGATTGGATGAAATTTATAAAGTAAGCTTACAAATCAATTATTTATACCTCAGTTTTAAAGCCTTGTACTCTACACTTAAGTAACCAGTTATTAACTTCAGTTCTTATGGCTGTACAATGTAGACTCTTCGAAAAATTGTAAATTAAGTGATATATTTAAGCTTGATGGCGAGATGGCCTTGAAGCTTTAACTTTTTTAACAAATTATTTGCTAATTCTCTTAAATGTAGCAAGAATTTCGATAAAAGTAATATATTATAAATATTCCATTTTTAATTCACATATTTACCCTTTATTAATTTTAAAATTTTGAATACATGTAAATTTAGGAGGGAAAGGTGCCGCGGTTTTGATCACTTAGCCGTATTTTTAAGTAACCAGGATGCACCAATTAGTAGATAGTTCAACATTGTGTGGATTCTTTTTTAGTTCTACTGGTTTGTTTCATCTGTCTACAGTTGCCTTGGAATCTGCCATTAGAAATAAAAACGACATTCAGTGTTAAAATAACAAGAAGTATTTTTATTGTCAAGTCGCCTTCAACATTAAGCACACCGTACAGTAGCTCTAAATTGAGTAAAAGCAAACTAGAAAGCAGAAAGAATTTCTCCAATGGTTCTGCATGTAATGAGGAACACGTCACGTTCCAAACAGGAAAATGGGAAGTTTGCACGGAGTCAGATTAAACTTATTCGACTGTAATGCTCAGGTATGGAAATGTTCACCGATAATGCTATATCTAGCAATCATCTAGACACTATTCATCATGTCAAGTACCGATTATCCAACAGAAGTATTTAAAGACTTTTGTACTCAGAGATAGACCGTTATCTCTTTCACTTAGGGTTTCGAATCCCAATAAAAGCTTGCATTTTCCTTAGTAGTTAGCTGGTAAATATTTACATTCGATATTACAAATATTTATACTTCATACTTCAGGTAATTAAGAAAAACGTATTTATGTTTGCACTGTGAAGAAGGACCAAAAAACAAATGAATCTTTAGTAAAACAATTTTATAAAAAGCGAAAGCTATTACTATTCTTAAAAGTAAGATTTTATGTAACAAAAACCAAATTGCGTTATTTTAGAGTGCAATAATTATAATACTACGAATGTTTCCAAAATTGACTCTAAAGGTATATTTTCACTGACACTTTTAATCTTGTTTCGTTTTTTATCTAACTGCACCGTATACATGTTTATAACGTAAAACAATAATGTGTAAATATTCTAATAAAAATGTAATGGTAGTAAGATATCATCTTAGATAAGCCGTTGTTAAAATATGAGCAATTTAACGCAGGATTTTTGTACTTTCTTTGACTCTTCAATAGATTGATAGAGGAAGTAATTATGATCATATGTCATACGACGAAAGAAGATGTTTTACACGTTGTAACAGAAACGGTTCCATCTGTCGTAATAAACAGAAGAATGAGGAAATCCTCTCATCAAGACCTGCCAGAAAGCCTGACATTACTGGTAATATATCCGATGGAAATACAGATGTCAATAGCTTAAATAATTTGTATGATTCCAGGTACTGTTTTCTACTTCTACAATATATATTGTCTCTTTCTTGAGTTTTGAAAATTGTTAACTACAGTATTTTGAAATCTCTTGTGCTTTGGGACGCACAATAATTTCTGGTACTTTTCCGTTTTGCCGGCGCAAGCGATAAAGTCGCCATTAATGGTACAACTGATGCCAAACGGAATATTCTCGCTGGTAACCTTTTACGCATCATTTTCAAAACAAGTCGCAGCTTTTTCTTATCAGACTGGTTGTTTCTTACAATACTGGCATATAGAATGCATAGAATTTTTATCAGATAGTTCAGTTTATGTCTAAGGCCATTTTCGGTAATTAAGTCAATTGGGATGCAATCACAGCGCTTATCCGAAGCCGAAATATATAAAAGGTAAAGTCAAGGGTTAAATTCATCCATTCTAATGAGAATGCATTAGCGAAGTAAAGCACTGCAGTTTTACATAATTTCTGAGTAAGTTATTCGTACGAATTGAAATATTTCTTGCGTTTAAACTTGTGTTCCAAATTAAGATTTAACTTGAAATGGATGTAGATAATTATTGAGAGCCTTAGATTTTTGTAGAGTAGTTTACGTGAGATGAGATCGCTTGGGGTCACGTGATATGAACCGGCGAATCAGGATGTTGAACCATGAAAGCATAGTAAATTCTTAAATTAATGTCTTTTTACAAATTTATTGTCTTTATTTATTGGCTTTTTATAAAATTTTAAGCGATATTAAAATGTTTATGTCTTCTTTTTTTAAAAGAATTATTAGAACTAATATTTTTTTAATATTTTTTATGTGTATACTGTATGTTGTCGCCAATAAAGTCTGCTTGGCGAGATTTGCGCCGGCGAAACGGAAAAGTACCTAATTTCTATTCTAGCATTAAAAAATACATTTATATCAAAGATCCATTTCAAATAAAATTAGACATCATTTTGTTGTAGAATATTTTTGATTACAAAATTCTTCCGTAATATCTTAAAACTCTTCTGCACATACTGCGGTTTCCCTAATGGAAATTTTACCTAATAAACTTTACTGTAATAGCAACAGCTATATATTATTAGATACATATTATTTAATAGCAGATTTTCTCATTAGTATAACTTAGTATTTTTGCCTTAAGCCCTTTTCTCTGCAACTATAAATTTCTTTAAGAAGACATCTAACACAATGAACTATTAGTAATTCTAACGGGTTTTAGAGTGCTAACTATTAAACTTCGACGTTAATAACAAATGAGGATCTCGTATTAATGCAAAGTGACACTAAATTGGACATTTCAATAAGTTCCGTGCTGTGATCTTAGAATACCATTTACTCGGCAGTCTTTACATCAATATATATTTCAGATTAGATACTATTATATATTAGGAGCACTTCTGAACAAATTCCTTACATATCTAAAAGAAAATTTTCAAAAAATATCTGAAAAGCTAGTTTAGTTAAGTTTTCCGAAATTTTTGCAGGATGCTGTCTTCAGATTTTCCAAAGAAAAAGGAAGATGATAAACAAAATAATCAGTCTTCTAATAGCCATTCTATAATTTCTGACGAGAAAAGGAAGACATCCGAAGATGAAGAAAAAGATTCCACCTGCAGCTTGAACTCACATGTATCGGAAAACACCACTAAAACCTCATCCCCCAAATACAATGATGGATATGCGTCTTGGTAAGTTCTACTGTTGGTACGCTATTACATACTCTCATACGCAAAATTAAGAGAATGCACAAATAAAGTCTATTTTTACGAAATGTACTGTAATTTGAGCGGAAATTACTTATGCCGCCGAAGAATTGTGTAAATATACAACACCTAAGCATACACGTGCATGTCTTCAGAGTTGTGGTTGTGGAAGGGTATATAAGAGAACAAGGAGTTTTCGGTGATTTGTGTTCTTGTACTACTTCATGACATTCGCCATGTTTCTCAGAATTCTCAGAATAAAAATGTAAATTGATCAACAACGAACAAATGTAAATGTAAATGATTAGCCACGAACAGGTAAATGATTCGCCACGAACCACGAATAGGTTAATGCAGGTAAAATGATTAGCCACGAACGTAGGGAAGACGGAATGAGATGGAGAATAGTTGGTGGACTGGAAGCAGGTCAATCACAAGCGCAGGCGGGTATACAGCTCAGTGTCGTGCCCAGTGTTGTCTGAAATTTGTGGGAAAAGTTTCAGGGCATTGAATTCATTTCTAGAAAAGCTAAACAATGTTGACCAAGATTTACGAAAGTGGATTGTTATTTGGCGCATTCAGCATGGTGACTCAGGTTTTGCACAGCTTCACATCTCTCACATGAGCTCTATGCTACCACTAGAACTCGAGGTTTACGGCTTACAGTTGCCCGAAGGCTTCATGAGACAGAACTGTATGCCAGAACACTTGCTGTTTGATCCCGCTCACTGCAGCACACAAGACAGGGAGATTAGCATAGTGTAGGCAACTTGCGCCGTACAATCTATTTTTTACAGATGAGTCGAGATTCTGATAGGGCAATGATTATCTGCGTGCCTGTACCTGGAGAGAGCCTGGAACACGATATTAACCCTCCTTCATCAGAGAATTACTACCTCGTTAATTCATTAGGCTCGCATACACTCGGCCTGTTGTAATGCAAGTATACCGAAGTAATATATTACTGAAAAGTTTCGGAATAAAAATTTTGAATTCTGCAACATTCCATCTTTAAAAATATTTCAGACTGAAATAAGATAAAACAGTCGATTCAAAATAGGTTTCAATATATACAGGCCTTTTTCGTTTGGTTAATACGTTCATTGATAGGGTAGGTATAAACGGATTCATAAGAAGCCGACTAACGCGAAAAAGATAGACCACATCACATGCTGGCGTGTGATTGGTTATTGAGGTAATAGTAAAACATCATGCTCCTGCGCGTGATTAATAACGAAAATGATAAGGAAAAAAATCATTAATAATGACTTATCTTTAAAAGCTGTAAGAAATTCCGTATTTTTTTTTAGAACAACAACTTTGTAAATGCAATTTTTAATAAGCTAAAGTATACGAGCTTGCAAGAAGTACGAGCTGAAAATTACTCTATTAATAGTAAAAGAGGAAGAAAATTAGCTGCTAAATGTGAAAAATATACTTTCTGAAACGAAATTTTTTTTTTTTTTTTTAGTCCAAAGGGACTTGAGTCCCGAGGAGAAGAAATTACTGCTGCTAAATAATGAAAAATTCATAACTTTCTAAATTTTTTTTTTGATTTTTTTGTCAAAAACTGAGTCCAAAGGAGTCCATTAACTTTCTTTACTTTCGAAGGACATTACTTCGTTTTTGCATTTTGCGTCGGACGGATAAACGTCGGTTCACTTTTCAAACTGTTGCCATAAAATGTTAGAGTCCTGCATTATATTTGAAGAAATTAAATAATGAAAATCTGCGTAAATGTATGTATATTTCTCACATTGTCATAAAATAACGGTACATAGAGTCATCGAATTTTGAATAACGTAATCCTCCAACGAATATGAGCATGTGGAAAACCAAATTTGAAATTTGAAATTTGTTTTATGATCGATTTCCTATTTTTTAAAACTTTGACGAATTTTTGATTAACAAACTCAAGGATTTCAAAGCGAGCAATGGCAACGTTGTGCAGAAAAAACATTTTTATCTCCAGCGCGTGAGTCTCTGTATCGGAAATTCTAAGATATGCTCGTTTTAAAACTATTTTGCGATATTGCTGTTGCACTGGATCTTATGGTTTAAGTGCGAGGAACATGATATTTATAATAAAGAAAGGTAACACACAAAATGTTAAAAAACGCCCCTTTGGACGTAATTTAAAATCTGAAACATTTCATTTTTTTTTTTTTTTTTTTTTTTTTTTTTGTGCGAAATTCTTCCATTATCTCAATTACCACTACTTGCTCAGCGCAGAAAGTAAGGTTACAGCACTTGCCATAGTAGCCAGATAGTGATCTATTGGATCTGGTTAGCGGAAACTGCTTCTAATCCAAAATTCAAAATGCAAGTTCGGCTCGAGAGGAAGGGTTTGCGTTATTTTTTTTTCTTTCTTCATGCGTGCAGTATGAGTCGCTTCCTGTAATGTATGAAGGGTAAAATTTTGGGTAATAGTATAAGATAGTTTCTTCCTCCGTCCAGCATCCTTTTAGGTGTAACGTTAGCACACTCGGCGCGTATTCGAGAGGTACAGGTTCGGATTCCAGAGAGGGCATAGTATATTTCTCACATCTCCTGCTTCAAAAACTACAGAGGCGCCCGAACTAAAAGCTGATGAACAATAATGCGTCACCACTAAGATTTGGCGACGAAGTCCCCTAATATCCTGACACCCTTCAAAAGGGAGAGTATAATAAGATATCAAAAGTGAGTCCAGCCTGAGCCATCTGTAGCAGTTGGTCTTATGGTCAAGTACAAATAAGGTTATTTAGTTAGTTAGTTCTGAGTACTGGCTCCCAGCCCACCTAGCAGGCGAAACCTGGCATATGACTGTGAGTATAGATAAGGTATTTTCTCCCTCGTTCCAGCATGCCTTCATGGTGCAACGGTATAGCACACTCGGCGCGTATTCAAACGGCCAATGTTCCAGCCCCTGCCAAGGCATTGCTCAGTTTTCATGTCTCCTGCTTCAAAATAATCTAATGACTCTAAAGCAGAACCACTAAACGACCGGTGATTTCACCCATTTTCGACAAATGCTTAACAAGCAAGTATTTGGCATTGGGTAGAAAAATGCATATAGACAGTACCTTGACAGACAGTACCCTTATAGACAGTGTCTTGTCTTGCTTTGGACTTAATTCTTCTTTTCTGTGAAAACGGATGAGCCAGACTTTATTAACATTAAATACAACGCCTAATTTATTTATATTTATAAAATGAACAAAATAAAATATCTGTTTAAGTGTCTTTTTTAAACGTGAATACCTTTATTTTTAACTGTTTATACCTGTAGAAATGATGATGGGTGTCTCAGAAGGTATTTTACCTAAAGGAGGTTTGCACATTTTATGAAATTAGTTGCAGGTGGTTCCAAGATTGTAGATCCCAATCTTTTTATACATCTGTGGGATTACTTCAAAACAAACTTATTTTCGTTAGAAAAGAAAACATAAGAGAGATCATTTAAAAAACTGAATTTAAAATTTAACTACATATATAAGAACAGACGCATTACCATGCTTTCACATGAGTAGAAAAGGCTGTTCTGTCTGTGTCTTTACAAAGAAGGAAAATAATCTAAAATTACATAAAAAAATATCTAAATAAAGTTAAATTTCATTTTAATGTTTTAATTCTCTATTCATGGAGTCTTTGAGGAACTTTATATAAAATTATACTACATCTGTAATCACTATCACTAATAAGAATGTAATTACTAAAATTACATCTTCTATTAAAAGTAGGTTAAAATACTTAAATTTGCTAATTTTGTACTAAATTTTACTCTGTGCAGGTACATGTCAGAGGAGCAACAACAAATTGTTGACACATTACGAGAAGTAAATATGAGGCATGAACGACAGTTAAGAAGAGACATTCAAGCGGCAAAGGAAGGTCACCCTCGATCGGATGATTCTTCTTCCAGCTACAACGAAATGAACTGCTCGGACACTCAACATCGTTCATCCTCCTCTGATGAAGATGAATGTATAACTCTCCTTCTTTCATCAACTGATGTAGCTCCTATTTGTGATCCTTTAAGTGAAGAAGATGTTGAAATAATTAGAAATGATTACCTCGAAAAATCAAGTAGCGATTATTTTGAAGATTTCCAAAGCATATTCACAGTTTCCCCAGAGAAAAAAATTATAAATACGCTCACAAAAGTTTGCATGAAAGAGGAATTTTCTACTGACAGCCAGAGATTTGAAGATATTCACAATAACAAACTTATTTCTAAAGATGTCATCAAACAAAATGTAGAATGTGTCGAGGAAAATTCAAAAAAGCCATTAAGCAAGGTAAATAACGAAGATGAAGTTGTGAACTCTTCATATAATGAGGTTTCTGAAGACACCAACGCTGAGAAATTAAATGACTGTAAAAATGAGGAAACTTTAAGCCCCATATCTTCTTCACACTCATATTCCAGAAGTTCTAGTCCATATAATGATATTCTAAAGGAATATAAATATGACGCAAAAATTGAAGAGGTAAGAAACGCAAAAACTAAAGATTCTTATAAAGAATATCTTAACAATTCGTATCATCCATTACATGAAAAGAAGAGCACTCCATTAGATGATCCACTAGAAATCATTGATTCTTGCATAAATAATAATTTAGATGATGAAAAGCTTCAAAATATTTTAGATGATGAAAAGCTTATTGAACGAGCTAACGTAGCTGAAAAAGAGAATAAGCTTTCCAAGAAAAACTTCCAGCTGTCTTCACAAATCTCTGAATTTCCCAGGCAATCTAATTTGTACAGCAAAAATGAAGATGAAAATGCTAAGGAAACAGAAATGAAAGACTTCAATGATTCCATCACTCTGACAGACACAGAGACTTCTTCTTCAGTAGAAACAGCAGTTAACGATACCTGCAATTTTAAATGCAAAGAATTGCCAAATAACTGCCGAAACGAACGGAAAGAGATAAAATCATCTAAGGTGCGAAACTATGAAATGCATTCGGAAATCTTAAACACCACTTCTCTGAATACTGTTAAAAATTCGTGTGAGTGTAATGAAAATCCTGAGTATCATATATTTGTGCGCAACTCTAAAATAGATATTTCGCATAATATACAAACTCAGGATAATCAACGCGGTAAAATCAGATAGCTGTTTAATCAACCCAAACGTCAACCATAAATGTACTTTTCAACAGACAGGCACGTGTTCACTGTCAGATCCATTTCTGTCTAACGCTCAAAATGTTCAAACTTACAAGCGAATTTCTGTTGAAGATATCTTCCAGATACAAACAAATGTAGAAAAATCTGATGCATTAAAAAACTTATTTCATGTTCCAGTGCGAGCTAATTCTTCAAAAACGAGCAGCAAATCTTCTGTTTCCTATATATCACCCACAACTCATTTAAAAATGCTTTTAGGAATTGGTCAACCTAGCTCTCAGCCTACTTCTAACCACCAAGAAATCACCAAATACGAAAAGACTGTTTCTTCACAAGATTATCAGTCCTCCTTACTGTCGAAAACTAGTACATCCAGTAGATTCAAAATATCATTTCCGCATAGTAAGGAAGATGGAAACTACAAGCACTCTATGACTCAAACTTTGCAAGCTCGTTCTGAACAAACTTCCATCCAGAATGTATCCGAATCCTCGAATTCCTTTCTTTCAAATACTTGCAAACTTCAGAAAGGCTATAAAATTCAGGAAGTCACGCATAAAGAAGGTAAAAATCCATCGATAAGAAATGACTCTCATATTACTAGAAACTACTACTCAGGCGAAAATCTTAATCATAGAAACAGACACCTCACAACGAAGACATTTTATTACAGCAATATTTCCGATAAATCAGGTAAAATGAAAAATCAACATAAAAATTTTAATGCAACATCAAGCGAAGAACTTAATGCTAAAAGCAAGATATATCCTGAAAAAAAACCTTTTAAAGGAAGTTATTATCCGAAATCAAATGAAAGGGTGAAAACTTTTGCACAATATGAAGCACCCGAAAACCAGAGGAAACAGAGAAAGAAGAGAAGTAAGAAAGATAAAGGTACAGCAAATAATCGTTGTTTAGGTCATGCAGAATTTTCAAAAGCTAAGCACGAGGCAAACTTTAAAGAGAAATCAGTCGAAATTGAGTTGAATGTCTCGAAAAGAGGAAAAGATGTGACGCAAGAAAAGCATACAAAAAACGCCATATTAGATTCACCTAAAAGCAAAAATTCCAGTATCCGGAGATCTGCCGCCTTCTTAAGTAACAGCACAACGCGAAGTTTAGAAAGCTCAAAAGTAGAAAATGTGAATATTTCTGCACATTGCATAAGATCTCATGAATTTCAGTCATTAGATTTAAATAAGATAAAACAAAATGAGCTTGTTGAAACAAATAAACAGCAAATTAAAACTTCACCTGCAATAAATAAAGTGAAAAATCCTAACACTGAAAAAATAGATGAAATAAGCAATATTCGAAGCAATTTTTGTCATCAAAGTAACGAACTAAAATTCAACAAGGAAACCGATATTCAAAGTTCAGAATCTAGAAGGCAGACTGTTGAATCCAAGACCTGCCTTAAATTAAATGATATTAGTTTAGACAAGAAAACTGTTTCATCCGAGCTACCCAACGATTTGGGGCATGTTTCGAGACATGATTTCTGTATTCCCAAATACAATATAAAAGTAAGTGTTCATAGAGAAGAGAAGAGTAAAGCCAAAGCATTCGATAATAGAAAAAAGCAAGAAGTAATCGCAAGCAAAGAATGTGCGAGACCTTTTGAACCATCAAAATACAAATCTGAATCCCTCAATAAATCATCGGAATTAAAGACAATCAATTCAGTTATAAAACAGCAACATGAAAAACATATTGCCGTTGAAAAAATGAGCAAACGCAACAACATTTCCTCCTTATTATGTAATATGGACAATTTGTATCGGACTCTTAGAGTAAATTCCCACGCTCTTGATATTGATGTAATCAATCAAAGAGCACGCTGTATGTCTAATGATGGATGCAAAGAAAACAAGAACAATGTCTCCAAATCATATAATGTTCATAACCAAATACTTTCTTTAAATATAAAATCTCAAAATAAGTATCTTTGTAAAGAGGATTGTTTCTTACTATTTGGAAAGTATGATGACAAAGTAGCGTTTAACCGAAATCCTTTTCATACTTTTTCAATAAGGAATTTAAGGAATGCGATTTTTGAAAAACTGAATTTTAATTCTGCAGGAATCTTCATTCCGAAACTTACTATTTTTCTTTTAATTATGAAAGAATTTTTTCTCGCTGAAAGATATTTTTATGATACAAATGGTGCAAATATCCTTGCAAATAAAGTTATTTCACGAAAACATTTTGCTGGCAAACATTACTTTGATAAAAACATTTTTCAGCATGTAATTAGAACGCAGAAGACGACAAAAGGATCTCTAATACCCAAATCATCATGTGAAAGAACTTCGCTGCAGTTAGATTCTGATAGGAGCTTAAAATGTATAGAAGATACAGAATTGCCAATCTCTAATTCTAGCGTCATAAACTATTCAAAGAATGAAACCCTTTTATTGTGTACCTTATGCTACAAATTAGCCACATCTATTTTAAAATCTACATCTTGCCCAAGGATTTTTATTGTTGAAAGTGACACATTCGATGCATCAGACTTCCTAAAATTACAAGGTGACATTCTTTGCAAGTTGCTTCCTTGCGAAAAGCATACTTCAAATCAGCCTCACAAATCCAGCTTTGTAGAATCCCATGTGTTACATATATCCCCGTTATCTCTGAAGACGATGTCAGCTTTAGCTGCAAATAAGAAACATTTAAGCCATGAAAACGTTTCCAAAGTTTCAGCTGATTATATGCAAAATAAACGTATGTGCGCATCAAAGGATCAAACTAGTGATATTTGTCTGATATCTAAACTGGGGGAGAAAATAGAAGAAAGACATGAAGCTCTAGATATTTCCCAAATATCAGTTGTGAGTCCAAGATGTATTTCTTCTGTGAAATAAACGTTAGAGTATGTTTTGAAAATCTTTATGGATTTCATTCCCGACCAAAAAGAATTTCATTTAAGATACGAAATTTTTCATTCCAAAAAAGTATCGTTTTTAATGACGTTTCAAAATTCTTTTTTCGAATTTTATGCTTACTCAAGTCATAAATATTCTTAAATGACATCGCTAAATGTAAAAAATTCACTTCATTTTCATTTTCATATTTTTATCTTGAGAATGTAAATGAAACCGACATGTACTTTTTGTTTTAAATATAGTAATACGTAAAAGAATTCCGAATTTCAAACAAATATCTTATTTGAATTTAAAATAATGTTTTAAATTGTTTATTCTGTTTTATGAAAAGTTGACTGTTAAGTATTATGAATATATTGACATTGAATTAAATGTGCAAGTTAAAAATTTACGAATAAAGAAACTATTTCATTAATTCATTTGCATATTTTTCTTCTAATTTCTCTTCTTCTGTAAACAACACTGTAATATTTCAATTTTAACAAATTATCTTCGACTGGAGAGAATTAAGAAGTTTTCAAATTCTCTTTGTTTTTTCAAATATGCTTGAATTTATTTTTTTTTCATTTAGGTTGACACATAACTTAAATGTTAATTACAATTTATCTGAGCACTCTTATTATGAATTATATATTCTTATTAGGAACTCGTATTATGTCTTATTATGAAGAGACTTAGAAGTTTCCTCTTCTAAATACATATAATATAAGATTGTAATATTTAAATATGGTTGTTGCAATATCATAGAATTAAGAGAGGAAGCCCACCAGCGGCCGAGCGGTAAAAATCACTGAACAGTGATAGTTCAGTCCGATTCTCGAATCCCACTAACGGGCTGGCTGCATGGGCGTTTCGTGTTTTTCCTATGTGTAACATGTATGCGAGCCAGTTTCCCATAGAAAGTTGGCTTTAGAAAGTCTTCTACGAAGGCATGCCTCCCCTTAGGCAGATAGCCCTTGAGGCTTTTCTGTGTCCACATAAACTAAACCAAACCTCTAAGATAGTGATTATTCTAGGTACAAGTTGGCAATATTCCTGATGATAACTTTAATACTAATATAAAAATAAAGTCTGTGCATCTTTTCTTTGATCATGCAAAGCCTATTTGACCGTTCAACATTAAATTTTGCGTAAAGATTAAGCAAAGAGTTGAATTAGGACAAAAAGTGCCAAATAACACAAACTAAGGTTTGTTCCAAAGAAAGCGTTAAACACTAGATGTAGAGCGCTACTTCAAACACAGATGAATGTTTGGTAAATTTACCTGACATCGCAATGTTGCATTTTTATTCAGGTTTTACTAATGAAATTTTATTTAATTTTTATCTTTCCTTTCTCCTCTTTTTCGTCAGGATGCTTGCTCATTCTAGAATTTATGTGGATTTTAGTAACAAGCAGTTTTACTACAAAAGTTAGAGATTTACAAATGGGAGTCTGACAATTTTGTCTGCCGTTCGTTGTTTTCCGCTTTGAAGAGAAAGATCTCTTGGTGATGCTACTCCTCGTCTTGCTGTGAATTTTTGTAGATTAAAATTAAACCCTGTTTTTACAAGTTATGTTTGAATTTCCGTAGCTGTTTTGGGAAAAGCTTCTATGCCAAGATTTGATTAAAATTGTTGAATTGATAGAAATTGTGAAAGGAAGCTTTGAACTTAAAACCAAGTCCATGTTAGCTGGTAAATTTAGGTCTGTATACTTTAATTCAACCACTAACAAATAGTGATGTAGAATAAACGTGAAGTGTTTTATTGCTGTGTCTGTTTGTTTGATGGTTAGATATTCTGTCAGTGAAATTTGAGCTTGTACAACATACAATGACTCAAAACCCTTGTTGCGAAATAAGAAACTTTCGAACATTTAATGATAAAAATTCAGCTATTATGCTAAAACTAAATAATTTCATTGTTTTTTCTATCTAAATACTGTGCTAAATCTATTACTAGAAATAATGTTAAGTAACGCTAATGAATAAATGGATTATTTTAAATACCTAAGAAAGTCTTTATATACACCAAGAAATGAACAATAAATTATAAAGTGTAATTGTAACATTATATTTCAGCTTCACTAACCAAATTGATTTTCAGTTTACATCTTTTCTGCTACGAGCTTGCTCCATCCAGGAATTTATGCA